CCCAATCAACACTCATTTTAAGATGATTTTTGAGTACTGGAAGTACAGTGATAAAACAGACTGACAAAGATACTGCCCTCATGGGAAAAAAAAGGAGGGGAAAAGACTGGTAGGTGCTGAGGTCAGAAAGGACATGGTAGGAAGTTTTATTCCATCTGAGGTGGGAAGTTATTTGTATTAGTTTTCCTGTGGCTGCTGTAACAAATTAACATGAACTGAGTTGCTTAAAACAACAGAAATTTAATCTCTCACAATTCTGGAAGCCAGAAGTCCTAGAACAATATACTGAGCCAACTTTCCAGTTTAACAAGGGAGGTGGCACTCCCTCCAGATGCTCCAGGGTAGAATCTCTTCCAGCTTCTGGTGATTGCTGTCACTCCTGGGACTGGGGCAATCTCTGCCTTTACACTGCCACCTTCCCCACGTATGTATCAAATCTTCATCTGTCTTCTTCTTAGAAGGGCACGTGTGATGGCATTTAGGCCCCACCCATATGATCCAGGATAATCACCCTATCTCCAGATCCTTAGTTTGTCCACATTTCTCAACGATCTTCTTTGAAATAAGGTTATTTGCAGTTTTCAGGTGTCAGAGCCACACACTGTGAGGGTAGGGGTAGAAGGGGGGAATGTTATTCTGTCTACATCACTACTAAGTAATTTTCATGCAAAATGATGATAAGATACAACCGGCACTTCTAAAACATCTCTCTGGTGGGTGGAGCCTAGGAGGCAAAATAGAAGTGACAGATTCAGTGGGCAGCTGTTGTAGTAACCAGACAAGATGACTAAGGCTTGAGAAGGGAAATTACACATTAGAGATCTGATCCAATAAGGATCAGCTAGGAGGAAGGTGAATATGAGTTAAGTTAAGTTAAGGCTTCCTGGTCAAACTTAATTATGATACTTGCTAGCTTTGTGACTTGGGCAAGTTATTTAACTAAGTTGTTTCTTCCTCTATCAAATACCTGTCATAGAGCCAGCACTAGGACTGGCATAAAAATGTTTAAAATGTTTGACAGACTGCAGTGTCGGACACATAGCAGGACTTCAATATATGTCCACTCTGGTTACATCATGTGGGCCTGCCACTGCACATTTTCCACCACGTCATTTCATGACCTGCATTTTGAGAACCAAAATATGAGTGAAAAAAACAATGAAATGAATCTAATAACTCAACAGGTAGAAATTTTTTACTGTACAACATTCTAAAGAAATCACCTATGGTATGTGGTGTAATTACATCACTACCATTTAAAATTTTACAAATGACTGAGGTATTTTAGAAATTAACCTTGACAACCAAGTTTTCACTTCTAGATAACAGATGTTTGAGTCAAATATTAAAATCTAATATCTAATATTTCAGTTTAATATATTATGGAAAAAAGAATTAAAACTTGATTTAATAAAGACCCCACAAAAAACTGTTCCCTTTCCAAAAGATACCCTAGGATTAAATCACGTAACATGAATATATTATATAATGACTGTATTTTAGAGAATTTAAATTGGAGGTAAACATATTTCCTTTCCTGATCTTACTTAAATTTAAGCTTGCGGTGAGTGACTTCATTGCACTGCCATTCCCTGTCCACTTTGTATACAATTCAGAAAAGAAGCTGTGGAAATACAATGGAATTAGTGTTCAGTTCGAATCCTAACTCTGTCTCTGCCATTTTCTTTTTAACCTTAGTTCCTTCATCTCTAAAACACTGAAAATAGCCTATTTTTTAAAAACAATTTTTCAGTTAATACATTATAGTAGGAATGAAATGCAAATGCAATGAAACAAAAATATCTGCATAAAATTCCCTAAAACTTAAGGTCAGTGACATCTCCTGCCATCACTTTATCTCGTGTTCTTTAAGGCAACGACAGGGCCAAGGGCAAGCTCTAAGAGCTACTTACGGCACTACTACAAATGTGGTAAGAATGTTTTGAATTACTACTTCTTGCATGAAATAGTCATTATATCTTTAAATTTTTTCAAAGTAAATCATTCATAGAACACCTGTTAGTAAGTACTCAGGTCAATTTTCCCCATGAATTCAACAGATGATCAGCTAAGATACTAAAAACCAGCAGAACCAATCAGGTGCTCAGGCCAGAAAGTGGAGGTCATCCTTTGCTTCCCAAATCCAATCTATTTTGGAATTCTGTTCACTGTATCACAATACACATATCTCAGATATGCCCACCGCTCTCTACTGCACTAGTTAGTCATCCTAATCCAGGCCACCATCAACTCTCACAAGGACCATGCCGAAGCCTCCTAACCATCCCATTCTATCCACTCTCCACACACCAACCAAAATGACCACCGCAGGACTAGTTGGGATCATGCTTAGTCTTCAGAGGCCCTCCCCTGCCTCAGAATGAAAACCCAGTGCTTGCATGCTCTGTCCCTGGACACTTCTCAAACCTCTCTTCAAGGCCACACCCTGTCCTTTCCCACTAGATCCCACCAGGCTGTTCCACCTCAGGCTACCTGCTGTTGTCTTGACCCAGACTGCTCATTTCTGCCTCTCAGATAGCTGTTCCCCCACCTGTGGTTTTCCTGCTGCCAAGGCTCTGTTGACCTCCCATGCACAGCAGGTCTTCAGTTACTTTACTACTTTCTGTCAGTCTCTCCTGATCTTCACATCAGAGTCCCTACCGCAAACGATCAAGTCACATACTTTGCTTGTTTGTTTGCTTGTTAAAGTTTCAGTACTGCAGCCTCCCTGAGGACAGGTCCCCCATCCGTTTTGCTCAACTATATTTCCCCAGTGCTTAAAACAGTACTTAGCAAGTGCTCATAACTATTTACAAATGACTGCGAATGCCATTATTTCTACATGCTCGCTTTGGCATACAACATTGCTTTCCCACAAAGTTAACTAAGCAATAATGGCCACGGAAAGACAAAGAAAGGGGCTCTGAAATTTTGACACAGCTTTGGCGTGAGGCACTCACAGAAGCCAGGCAGAACTGAACTGAGTGCTAACCCCAAGTACCAACTAAGTTTCCAGTCTCTGAGTGCAAGGATTATAAAGTGACTTGCACATAAACAAAGGCTTTATCATTTACAATGGGATGATTAAACATTTGGCCATCTATATTATATACTAAAGTCTCCATAAGCCCTTTTCTCATTTGCTTCATTCCTTAGCATTTTTAACATAAAGTCAGAATCACACAATGCTCTATTGTATGTACTTGTTCTTGCATTCTTTTTCATAGTTTTAGGTCTTCTTGACATAGATTGACACTACCTTTCTCATATCTCTTTCAAACTTAGTACAGAGCACAAGAAATGACTGATCCTAAATAAATGGTTGCTTACTGATTAACAGAACAAATGAAGAAAATCATTCAGCAGTAAATAAAGGTTTGTCTGGTACAAATTCATTAGTATGTGGTTTCTTTGATTCCATCCAGTCAGTTAATCCTTTATCAATTAACTTCAATTACTATGAAAGCTTATTTAAACCATATTTTCTGTAACTGAACCATATCTTATAGCTTCAGAAGATACATTCGATATTTTGTATAAGTATGCTATATACATGCATATATACTCTTTTTCTTTCTTTCTTTGGTACTAGAGCTTGAACCCAGGGTCTCACCCATGCAAGTATACATTCTTTATATATTCCCATAAAACCAAGATTTCTTAGGAGTTGCTGTTAATTGCCTTGATTGGGAAAAGGGATTATGGCAAAAGAATTTAGACACCTCTAAAAACATCACTATTGTCTTTTATCTTTTATTTTTGCTTTATACAACTTTGGACATTCAATATGCACCATGCTCAACATTTTTGAGTTTGAACTCAATTTGCTTACTTACATTAACTCCATAGCCAAGAGAACCTAAAAACCTGTTCCTTTCCACTATTGTATAATTGGCACTTCTGAATGTTATGCTAACAAGCTTAAGTCTGATAATATCACTGAAATGGATGGAAAAATACACCTGGTCTATGTAGGCTTACTTCCTTTGAAGTTATGGTATGATTTTGGGAAAAGTAGATATGAAAAAGCTTGATTCATTTGTGAGTCACAGTGATGTCAAAGTAAACCTCCTCTCAATTAACCATTAAGAAATTCACTGAAATGCAGCCTCTTGAAAATGACATAGGACATCCCTGATCTCAATCACACTAGCTAGAACCATGCTACATGCCCAGAAGTAAAACCCAAAGACACAACACAACAATAATTACAGCACTTTAAACATGTGTAAACTAATACAAATTAAGAAAAAAATTATAAACAAATGGAAAGCAAAGTAAACAAAATTAGCAAATATTGTCACCATTCGCAAATGTCCCCCCCCCCCCACTGCACTAGGATGTAAGCTCTCTGGCCCATGGTAGGGAAGCTCCTGGAGGACACGGACTGCTGTCTGCTCTGTTCAGTCAAGTTTTTGTGAAAACAGCACTTCGCACATAGATGCAAATAAATAGTATGAATTCTTAAATATTTAACATGATCTATTAATAATCAATAAATGCTAAATAGAATAAAAACATGATAGTAGGTCTAACACTTGTGTTCTTAACAGAAAAACCAATTTCTGATGGAATCAATAAAACAAATATAAAACTAAAATTGTGATGGGCAAAATTCAATCTTTATTTGATAATCTTCAGAAGTTACCACAACTTTATTAGAAATATCAGTTAAATTATGTTTTTAATGTTGTAGAAATACAGATTAATGTAATAACATAGATTTTAGTCAATAGAATATTGAATATATCAGTGATTTTAGAATAAAAATTAAAAGTTTTGAACTAACTTTAAAATGTCCCTATTGAAAAAAAAAAGAAATCTTTGCAACTAGTTTCCCTAAATATTTTCATAATTCTAAACATTTATAATAATACTTCCTCTACTCTATTACAAGGTACAAAACATCAGCCACCAAAGCTTCAAAATTTTCTCCGACAATGAGCACATGCTATTGGAAAAAATATGCGAAATTTAAATCTTATTTCATACCAACTTACTCTGACTTTGGGCAAGACTCTCCGAAGTGTCTCAGTAGGATTCTGTCGCATCAAAACTGGAAGATTTGCAATCACACTTGTTCCCTGGATATCTTGACCGGCACTTACAAAGAAAATACAAATTTTAAACTTGTAATTATAAGAGAATTCCTTATTTATCATTATAAAAGGAATGAATTACTTTGAAAAAAATGACTGCTTTTAATAACTTCCTACAAAGGTTTAAACATATCATTGAGATACAAAACCAAAAAAAATATTTATTAAATAACCAATACACAAAGATATCAATTATGGCTGTGTTAAAATAAGATTCTCTATTTTTACACGTCTCAAGTCTTAAAGTCTTGAGACTATTATTAAACACTTTAAAATCCTAACTCATTTTTCCCTGTCACCCGCCAGTTTGCTATACTTCATAAAATATATACAAATGATAAAATTTTATTATGGTAAAATAATAACCATAGCAACAACATAGATAAGCAATAAAAATAACTAGGCAAATCATACAACTTTCTGTCAGTACAACAAAATGACTTGTACTAGGGTGGCTCCATGAGTTGCCAGAAACTTCTTTTTTTTTTTTTTCTTATTACATATCGCAGGTTTTATTTCCAGTTTTCAAGCTGAATTTTTTAAAGGATATTAACAGGATTCTGTGGATTTTACATAAGAAATAATGAACACATTAGACTTGTATACTTGGAACCCAGTGCTTAATGAAGAAAGTCTGTTGAGTGGGGCTTTGGCTTCCCACCTCCTATAATAATCCCCAAAGGGGTTATTCTTAATTATTTGCCTAAAATAATGAATAAAAAGAAGAAAATGAAGGCTGAATTAGTAGCTTAGCCTAACATTTTATCTGTTGAGATATATATTTATTACTGAATGAAAATTGAAAACCACACTTATTTTTCAGATTTGTGCATTTGGGAAAAGAATCATACAGAATACTAAGATATCATTTTAATATTCTTTGCACTAAATCTCAGTTTTTGCCAGAAACTTCTTAAAGATAAACTCAGTATACTGAAAGGTCAGTAAGGCATTTATACAACACCTTTCTGACATACATTTATTAAGGCTTTACCAAAATAATCTCTGTGATACTCTAGTGTCCTAAATACCCAGAAAAACTGTGCAGATTCTTCTGAAAAACCATTTCTGTGAACTGGAAAAATTGTTAAAATATAACATAAGTGACATAAATTCATCAAGTACTTGAAATGTACATCACAAAGATATCAGCAAATGACCTCAGAGGGAAATTCCACCCATTCTTAACTGATACCAACTCAAGTTCTACTTGCTAATATCACAACACTTACTTTATTAATAAAAATTATTTTTACTTCTCTTCAAATAGAATTACTATACTTACATGATATGTACTTAAGATTCTAATATATGTATTTAAATAATTTATAAAGTATTATGTTTTTGCTTCCAAGTATATAAGTTCTGTTCACAAGAAGCAGGTTCTGGTTGGGCACCAGTGGCTCACACCTGTAAGCTAGATACTAGGAGGCAGAGATCAGGAAGATCAAGGGTCAAACCCAGCCCAGGCAAATAGTTCATGAGACCCTATCTCAAAAACATCCCAAACAAAACAGAGCTGGTGGAGTGGCTCAAGTGGTAGAGTGCCTGCTGAACAAGCATGAGGCCCTGAGTTCAAACCCCAGCACCATCAGAAACACAAAACAAAACAAAAAGCAAGTTCTGATTCTAAATGAGGGTACCCTGCTGTGCCTGCTGTGAAGAAAGTCTTTTCTCTGCTGTGATATGGTAGGTTATAAGATACAGCACACATAATCATTTCCAATTGAATCCCTCCGTAGACAAAGTTAAGAAGGAAGAGAGAAGTGTATGAAATAGGGGAATATGCCAAGATAGGGAGAGGATAAAAAAGACAAATTAAAGCTGGATATAAAAAATATTACTTGTAGTGGGGTTAAATGGTAGCACCCTACAAGATGTTGCTGTATCATGATCATGGAACTTGTGAATGTTTTGTTAATTTTAGAAAGCATTTGGAAAGGAAGAGATTATTATTGGGTAAATGCAGTAACACCAATGTCCTTCAAAGAGTCACTCAGAGGAGAAGGCAGTGTGAGCACAGATGCAGAGATAGGAGTGACAATGCTGATGCCACAAGGAGCCGAGGAGGCCAGGAATAGATTCTCTCCTAGAGCACCGCTGACCTCTTCCGTTTCTGACTTCTCTCTACAAACTGAGGGAATACACTCTGTTGTTTCTCAGGCCACTTAGTTTGTAGTAATTTGTTATGGCAGCCACAGAAAACAAATACACTCGTAATGAACTAAAAAAGAAATATCTGAAAACATGGTGTTTAATAGGATAATGCCTGGCCCAAGGTGGAGGTTCAGTAAATGTCTCTTGAAAAGATGGATGAATGGACAGCTAGCTGCATAAATAGATGTCATGAAATTTTAAAATTGAATACTCATAAGTTCTACTCACTAACTTACAATTAGGAAAAAAGGAGTATGATCTGTAATACCTCACTAATATGAAGACAAAACACTTCAAGGAAAGGCAAGAAGAAGAAAACAGAAACAAAAGAGGACAGAGAACAGACATGAGCTATAAAGTATCAACAACTGCATTCAATATAAATGAACTACATTTATTTTCCATTAAAATGCATGGAAAGCCAGACACAGTGGTATTTGCCTGTAATCCCAGCTATTCAGGAGGGGGGGGGGGGGGGGGGGGGGGGGGGGGGGGGGGGGGGGGGGGGGGGGGGGGGGGGGGGGGGGGGGGGGGGGGGGGGGGGGGGGGGGGGAGGGGGGGGGGGGGGGGGGGGGGGGGGGGGGGGGGGGGGGGGGGGGGGGGGGGGGGGGGGGGGGGGGGGGGGGGGGGGGGGGGGGGGGGGGGGGGGGGGGGGGGGGGGGGGGGGGGGGGGGGGGGGGGGGGGGGGGGGGGGGGGGGGGGGGGGGGGGGGGGGGGGGGGGGGGGGGGGGTGGGGGGGGGGGGGGGGGGGGGGGGGGGGGGGGGGGGGGGGGGGGGGGGGGGGGGGGGGGGGGGGGGGGGGGGGGGGGGGGGGGGGGGGGGGGGGGGGGGGGGGGGGGGGGGGGGGGGGGGGGGGGGGGGGGGGGGGGGGGGGGGGGGGGGGGGGGGGGGGGGGGGGGGGGGGGGGCGGGGGGGGGGGGGGGGGGGGGGGGGGGGGGGGGGGGGGGGGGGGGGGGGGGGGGGGGGGGGGGGGGGGGGGGGGGGGGGGGGGGGGGGGGGGGGGGGGGGGGGGGGGGGGGGGGGGGGGGGGGGGGGGGGGGGGGGGGGGGGGGGGGGGGGGGGGGGGGGGGGGGGGGGGGGGGGGGGGGGGGGGGGGGGGGGGGGGGGGCGGTGAAG